GTAATATGGACCCCGAAACTAACTCCATCGCTAACCTCGGCTTGAATATGGACATTGAACAAAACCAAAGCGTGTCTCATGATAGTCTGCACACAGAAGAAGTGACTTCTTACCAATTCGTATCTCTGAGATGCATAAACTGTGGAACTGATTTGATAGAGAGAAGGCGACATAGGCCACCCAGAAGTCCAGATCTATCCCCAGCTGACTTCTTTTTATGGGGTTATTTAAAGAGTCGTGTCTACATCAATAAACCAAATACACTACATCAACTAAAAGAAAAAATTAGCGAAGAGATATCGACGATCTCACGGTCTCTGTGCGGACGAGTATTCGAAAATTTCGTTACTCGCTTAGAAGAGTGTAAAAATCGAAATGGTGGTCATTTAGATGATATGATTTTTAAAAAATAATTTCCAACTAATTAGCTTTCTTTTAATAAAACAATTTTTAAAATATGTCAAATACTTTTTTTTAAATGATTATTTCAAATATTAACTAATTCATAACCCACCCTGTATTAATATATATTTTTTGTATTAAGGGCCAAAGGCGTTAAGGTCATAACATTTCAGTGATCAGTAAAATAAGTTGTGATTTATAAGTCTTGATTATTGACTTTAATTTAAAAAAACTATTTGCTTTGTGTATTTTTTTTGTCTGTATACATCATACATATTACTAGTTTTTTAGACTTTTCGATTATAAACGTGTTTGGTTTTTATCGCTATCTTGCAAGCAAAAGTGTTAACACAATATATGCAAAATATACTTAAGAATAATTGTTGATTAATTATAAATTTCTCATTACTAAGCAATATATAATGTAATTACCTTATCTTGGTTCACAAATGCATAAAGACAAATTAAATAATTATCATTTGTTCTATTTATATTGTAAATTTGAATAATTCTCATCATATATATTGAATGTTGTTCTATCATTCGTCTTGTGGCAGAGTGTCTCGTTATATTAAAACAAATAATTTCTAAATACTGTTGAAGTGTTTTTTATTGTACGTAAATAGTTATTCTAGTAATCAAGGTAAGTTTTGAAAAATAAAGGAAAAGCGTAGCCTTTTTGTAGTGTTAGTTGTTCTATTTTTCAAAAATTATTTTACTATCTTTTGTTTAAACTTATTATGATCTTAATTTTTCTAATAAAAATGATTTTCTTCAAAATTTGATTATTTTTACTTTAGTAATATCTATTACTTTATTGTATTTTAACCTCACAAATGATTTTTATTTAAACGAAGTTTCTCATATATATCATAGTATAATATATAGGTATAAGTTACTAGGTATGCTTCCGATTTCTTATGTTTTTTATTCCAAATATTTTATTTTATTGGCAGCACAAGACTGCATAGAATGTACGTTTTCCTGAGATGATTGTGGTCCTAGCACCGAAGATTATTGTCATATAAAAATTAGAAATGAATTTATATTTAATATTCACAACGTGACTAAAAAAATACCAAAAACGAGATTAAAAGAATGAAAGAGTTGGATATTTTTTAAATGTAATTTCCTTTGAGTATCTTTGGATACTGTCTAAAAGCTTTTTTTGTTAAGACCTACACAGTTAACTGTTGATCGCACAGGAGACTGTTTGTGATCTCAATAGCCGTTACATACTATTATAACGGTGTTCCTGCTGCTATTTTATAACAAAGTAGATCGCTGTAAAGGATGTTTTAATATATGTATCTACAGGTGAGGGTGGTATTAGTGCTTGTGTGTTAGTGTGTGTTGCTGGTGGCGACGTCAGCTCAGGGTCAATACGACTGGATCAACAGCACAAGGAATGGATACGAGTACATTAACTGTTTGTTCAACAGGACCTGTGGACCCTGGGGCGTATCGTGTGAGTACAACCAGCTCTTATGATAAAGTTATTTACAGAATACCCTAACCGTTACCTATGTTATTACATTTTCGTTTCTTATCCCTACTAATATTATAAATGCGAAAGTAACTCTGTCTGTCTGTCTGTCTGTCTGTCTGTCTGTCTGTCTGCTACGCTTTCACGCCTAAACCACTGAACTGATTTTAATGAAATTCGGTACAGAGATAGAGTTGACCTTGAGAAAGAACATAGGATAGTTTTTATCCCAGACTTTTGAAAGGTTCTCTTGGAAACGCGATATAACCGAACTCCACGCGGCGAAGCTGCGGGCGGAAAGCTAGTATTTTATAAAGTCACTGTCTGCGGGTCTGTTATTTAAAATAATATTCATAGATATTATAACTTAAAAACTTATATATTTTTTGGTTAAGATTATTTTATTATTGTAATGTGTAATTTTTTTAGAACTGACAACGGACCCGGAACAAGCCCAAGTGATGAATCCGGCTGAAATTTTGCATTCACTAAATAATTTATTTCTTTGTTTTTTCTTTCTAGTTTGGGTCATTTTATGATGAAATATGGTATTTTAATTTAAAAAAAAATCTATTTTATATTACTGTCAACAAAATTTATTAGTCGTGAAGGAAAAATGTCTCTTGTTTCGGCAATACTATTAGTCTTACAAAAAAGTAAATAAATGTGAGAATTAAAAAATGGTTGATTTTTTAAAATAGTAATGATTTATTGGTCTCAAAAAAAGATTTTAGTAAGTCAGTGGTGGCTCAGTGGTTAAAGGGCCCGCCTCTCGTCGCCGAGGGCGCGGGTTCGATCCTGGCCCAGTCAAAGTGACCAATGTGATTTTTCCGAATCATATGTACTTTCTAAGAGTATTTAGACATCACTGATTAATGTTGGTGCCCTAAAAAGGGTTTTGATGTCAGGCAGGCGGCCGGTCGTAAAAACAAATAGCAAAAAACTATTCACAACATGTAAGGCATACCCTGGCTATAGCTGGAAATTGCCAGGTAGAAGAGGAAGAAGATTTAGGATTCCAACAAAGTCCTTAAAAAATATAGTTTTCTTATAAAGCCAGTACTTTTGAATAAGAAATAAAACCTTAACTAGAGTCTAGAACAAACTAGTTATTATCCTAACCGAATACACATTAAATTAAAGTTAAATTCAATTTACAACAATATGTACGAGTCTTGTTCACAAAATACTTTCCCGCGTAAAAGTCGAACAAGCCAAGCGTCACCGCTTTAAAATTACTTCGGAAACGTTCGGGAATTTAAAGTTTTGGTTCAAATTAAAAGTGTGTTTCCTAAGTACAGGGTGACTGGTGAATTACTATCGCTACTTGAGGACGTGATATTTGACGATCATATATGACAAAATAAAAATTAATATAACATTAAATATTAATAAACTTCTAAGTAAAGTTAACCAAAAGTTATGTAATTAATTACACATCGTGTGAACACCCTACAGATTAGGTATACAGATTAGGTATACGGTATAAGATCGATCGCTAGGCGCGCGCGCGGGAAGACGGACGTACAGACCTTACGGCGGCGCTCGCCCGATTAATTAAAGCCACGGGACGGGAGTTGGGGGTAGCGACACATGCGTGCGGCGGCGTGGTGTTGTATCAGCGTCCACACTTGGAACACTTGGAACGTGTCCACACTTTAATTATTTATACGGAAATTTGGTCAAAAATTAAGTACCTATTTTTTTTACATAATTCGAATGAGAATCGTGTACCGAGTATTCTCCTTAAATATTGATAGTAGGGGAACTCGGGGCGGAACGGGGTACCTAACCTTTGGTTACAATTTATGAGAGTTTGAATGAAACAACACCATTATTTGGCAATTTGAAGGTTTATTTATTTACTAGCTTTTGCCGCGACTTCGTCAGCGTGGAATAGTGACTTCCGGCAGATTTTTGGTTCTTCCCACATAGTTCCCCTTCTTGAGGGGTTTTCAGAATGGTCGAGTTCCCGTAGAATTTTCAGGATAAAACCTATGTTTTTTTTTATTCACAATGAAGTACTCTTAACCAACAACATATTTATTTGTTTATTTAAATAAAGATTAATATTATTATGTTCATACAACTTAAACAAATTATTTCAACCAAATTAGGTATCATAAAAACGGTTTTTGTGAGTTCATCTTAAAAGATAGACATATACTGTCGCGGACTGTTTTTTAGATCATTAAAAGAGCTATTATTCTTTACTACATACTTTTTGTGTATCTTGAACCGTTTTCACGGCGCACGCAACGGAAGGCTTCAAAGATGAAATAATTTCTCCCGTTTTTTACACATTTACCACTATATCTAGACAATAAGTTTTATTTTTTTCTTTTTGTGAAGGTTGTGTACGTCTCTAATTGTCACTCTTATCAGGTCCTAGATTTACCAATTTTATATGTTTGTTTATGTGTGTTAAATAACTGTGACGTTGATGTACCTTTAAATAAATAAATAAATAAATATCTTTGCTCCTATTGGTCGTAGTGTGATGTTATATCGCCTACAGCCTTCCTCAATAACTGGACTATCCAACACAAAAAGAATTATTCAATTCGAACCAGTAGTTTCGGAGATTAGCGCTTTCAAACAAACAAACAAACAAACTCTTCAGCTTTATAATATTAGTATAGATTTTATTACAAAAAAATTAAAGCTAAACTTATCTAAATTAAGAATGACAATGAAAAATGTTTATTTGAAAAATAAAGAGAAATTTCCCATTGTGCCCCAACCCCTGAGGTCCAATGGGATACGATTTGGGGCACGATGGGGTATCAACTATTGACACAGTTCACAAATTAGAACACTCTCATCATCGTCACTATCTATGCCAGCGGATGCCAAATGTGCCCATTTTTTACAAATGGAACAGGAACACCAGCATTCACTTGACTTAGAGTATAAATCATTGCAATACAAGCGGGGCGGCTCTTCTTCTTCCGAGTCTTCGTCTTCAGTTTCGATTCTTATTTGTTTCTTTGACTAAATCTTAAATTCTTTGGTTTTTTTCCCTTTCTTTTTTAACTTTGTTTTTTTTTAGTTTTCATTCTTTTATTTAAGTTTTCTTTATCTTTTAAAATCAGTCTTTGTTTAATTTTTTCTACTTTTTTTCCTTAATATTTTGTATCTTTTTAATAGATTCCTCTAATTCAATCTTATATGGTGAGGCGGTATGGATTGCGGTTTTTCCGCGCTTCTTTATAACTCTTTTCATTCCAGATTTTATTTTTGGCAACGGAATCAGATCTTTTGGAGACGTAATTGAAAAATTTGTGTTGCTAATGGTACGAGGAGGAGAATCGGGCATCCATGAACATCCGGGTTTAGGATTTAGATAAACGCTCTCTGGTGGTGGAAGATTTTCGTCATTCGTAGGCATCAAATCATTATCTTGGACAAAAAAATTATTATTAATAGGTATCGGCTGAAATTGAGGTGTTTTGGTAGATGGCAGATCTTTAGGTATTTCAGTGGATCCCAGATCGCCGCCTGGTGCAGTTGGCGCTTCCTGTGCAGTTTTCTCAGCAGGGTTCTCTAAGGGAATGTTACAAAACCTATATTAACCTTATCCGATCGCCCCTATCCGTTCCGGACCGTAAGCAGGGTTAGCCTTATCCGGACCCGATCCAAATTTCCACTCGGGGTATTACCCCATTGTGCCCCGACGCACCGTTCACGTAACGATGTGTTATGGCCGGTTATGTATTTGTTTGATTTGAATCATCACTAGACTTTTAGTTAGTCAAAAGAATATTCAAACCAACATGTATTGTAAATAATCTCAAAAAAGAATAATGAATAGTAGTAATTACCTTAATATTACAAAGCGAAAATTAGAATTTTTGGGTTTTTTCGTCGATCTTTGATAAAATCCAAATTTAGCGCACTCTCACACTAACAAAAACCACTCCGTCCAGCGCAGCAGAGCGGACTGAACGTTGTGCGCAATGTTCACGCGTCTCTATTACCTCTAATGAGTACCACACTCTTTTCTCATTCCACCCCGGTACCCCGTTCCGCCCCGGGTTCCCTTACATGCTGTTTTCAAATCGAACTCCATTTTTAGTTCAGGATTCGAACACGTTTCGGTAGAATCACTGTCACTACTCCTCATATGACATTAAGGCTTAGAACATAAATTTATAATTTGTGAGTAGTATGACTTTATTTCATCGCTTATTGAACCTGTGAATGTAAGGGACTTAGGCTTTATTTCCTTAGACGCAATACATTTGATTATATTTGAACTTTTCTCAAATAATTTCTCAGTTTCCGCTAACTTATTTTTTATAACATTACCTTGATATCTTAGCTTTCCCTTCTTAATTAAATATTTTCTTATCAATTTAATTTCGTCTAAACATTTAACTAATTCATCTTCCATTCCCTTTTAACAACATATTAATAAAAGAAATACATACCAAATATTATATTAACTCATTTGAGTAGTTACCATGGCAGGGGCTACGACCTGATACATTGCAATATGAAACTCTTAGTGTACATTATACATACTTAATCGATTAAATAATATTAATAATAAATGTTTCCTAAATTTATTTTACTAGATTCTACACTAATTCGTTAAAAAAAACTTAAAATTTTATAAATAGTCATTTTAACAGTTCAAAGTTTATTTCTGAAACTCCATTGGATCACTTTACAAAACACTCACGCACTTCTAATTAATATAAACACCTGGTTTTCACGCACTCTCCCCGTAATTCTAATGCCGTCACCTCTCCACTAGTTGGGTATGTCTCTTGGGCGGGATCTGCACATCGCGGACTGGATCAGCACATGGTTAGATTTTTTTTTTTAATAAAACAGTAAAGAAGATCAAACTTAAATTGCTACATATTGCTTTATTTTCAACTTTAATCCAGTTCTTCACCTCATAGTCCGATTTTGGAGCTGCAACACTACACCGCGATCAAATTCGCGTCGCGCGCCCCAAATATGGCAAGGGTCGCCATGACGGGACTTATGTTATTGAAACGAGTGTGTTTGGAGGAAGATGATTTATTACTGAATTACTAACGCAACGATCTTAATATTTATACATCGGACTTCAATACTACTTATTACACTACACAATTAATTCTAAGAATTATAGTATAATACAATCACAATGGCACAGATGACGTCACTTGTAACACTATTCTTGTTATTTACATGTTTCAGTTCTACAACCATAATAATGTATTAAATAAAATACCTTTAATAAATTTTCTAAACAATCCGACATTTTCTACGTTTGTATGTATACAAATATTAATATTATGAAAGATAAGTCACAGTATAATACATCATATGAGTCACCTCATGTACACACACATTAGTATTTAATTGATAGCTTAATAGATAGATATAGATAGATAGACTTTGAATTTGAAGATTATATTTACTCGAGTTATATTATGTTTTGTGTTTATAACAAACTCATTTGAAGGATGTATATATGGAGTCCCAAAGTGTTATTATCTTCATATATACAGGGTGACTGATGAATTACTATCGATATTTGAGGACGTGATATATGACGATCATATATGACAAAATAAAAATTAATATAACATAAATATTAATAAACTTCTAAGTAAAGTTAACCAAAAGTTATGTAATTAATTACGCATCGTATGAACACCCTACAGATTAGGTATACACACACACACACAGACGCAGCGGCGGCGTAGTGTTGTATCAGCACGCCGCCGCACGCGTCCACACTTGGAACACTTGGAACGTGTACACACTTTATTTATTTTTACGGAAATTTGGTCAAAAATTAAGTACCTATTTTTTTTTACATAATTCGAATGAGAATCATGTACCGAGTATGCTCCTTAAATATTGATAGTAATTCACCAGTCACCCTGTTTAATTTAACAAGTACAAGTATTACTGCTTAATCAAAATCAAAGACAATATGTACAATACATCCACAATAACTGTAATTCATTTCAATTCAACAATAATAATTTTCTTTATGATAAATGCGGTTTATATAAATATTATAAATGAAAACAGTTCAAGGTAAATCTATTATAACAAAAACTTTTAGCCCCCTCTAGTGACATAACAGATACTATTCTTTTAAAAATTAATTAATTTAGAGAAAAAGGTATGATGAGCATAACTAGTACATACAGAAATAAAACATTTAAGATGGGCAATGTTTTATCAGATTATAAATAACAATAAAGTAATTGCATCGTATCAGAGAAGTATATCAAGTACAAAGATTGGATTAAATAAAATATTATGATCCAAAAGATATTATATATAAAAGTTGTACAGTAACTGTTAAAGATATTGTTTGACAAGTGTAAATTCAATATAAAATAACTAAGTAGCAGACAAGTTGGAGATGTGCTGCTAGGCCGGCTGTGTTCATTGTTAGTTTTCATCTAACACTTGATGATCAGCCGTCATCTCCTGATGGATGAATCTCAAGTACAGTCCAATAACACCATCTGTAATACATAATACAATATATTAATACTGTTCACAAACAATATTGTCCATATATAAAGACATACAGATATATAGACAGATGTAAAGACAGTCCATATATGTAGACAGTTACATCAAGGATTGTTTGAAAATAAAAATATAATATTTTATATTATTCTTAAAATATCCACAAATAAATTACACTTCATATCACCAAGAAGGTTTATTATTCAAATAAATCAATTCTTTATATATCAGTCTAGTTAATATCATCATTAATAACATAATGTAAAATGTATGGAATTATTATTATTATTCTCTTTGATATATTGGATTCATACAAAAATTATAAATGTTTATACTTAAACTAAACACATAAATTGATCTTACTTAAAAAGTATAACAATTAACACATTTAAATAATAATCGATTATTCTAGAAAGACGGCATATGGATTTCATTATATATGTCAACAGCACATGAGGAATTATAAAATGAATGTTTCGATAATGGTTTACTCAATATATGAGATACATTATGGAGAAATTAACATTAAAATGTACAATATAACTCAAAACAAAGTAACCAACAGACCTTACCGTCACACTACTATTGTACATCAGCTACATACACTTCTCTTCATAGAAGGGTTCCTCTCGTCCGCAGACCACGTCCTAACAGACGCTCCACCAACAGCTTCGACCCTCATCTTGAATTATATATTCTTACGAGTCCTGTAACGTAACGAATGATTCTAGTTTTTATTATGACAATAGATTTCTTACTTAAATATTTGTCTTACAAGAAGTCGCATTTTAAAAAGTGAAAAACATAATAAATAATAATAAAGAAGGCCATTGAAACGATATAACGTTGAAAAACCCTGCGGGCAATATTATGCTTAGAGAATAATTCAAAATATACTATGAAAATAAACTAGTACTCTTATCACTACCGATAATAAACACTAATATTAACCAAAACTAAAAATGTTACTTAATAAACAATTTCACTTGAACGTTATGTCAATAATATAAAAAGTGACATTTATTAGTACCTATGTGCAAAAAAAACACGCACCATGAAGATAACCGACGTAAAACACATCCATCATAAGGAAGGCCGCGGCCGACTGCCACCAGAGGCACCAGAGGGAGCCGGATTGGAAGGACTGGAGAGACATGAGAAATGAATTTTGAAAGCAATTAATAGTAAAATCATAAAATGTAAATAAATAAAATTTAAAAAAATAAAAAAAAAGGAGCCGTTAGGTTGGCTAATTGTTCTTACGACCGGCCACCTGCCTGACATCAACCCTCTTTGAGTATGCATTAATCAGTGATGTCTAAATACTCTTAGAAAGTACATATGACTCGGAAAAATCACATTGATACTTGCCAGGATCGAATCCGCGCACTAGCATGAGAGGCGGGCTTTTTAACCACTTATAACTGACGATATTGTTTAGAAATTTAGTACATATAGCTACTATAATTTTTGCAAAATGTTTTGTATTACATTATAGATAAATTACCTGATGTAAACTTGGCATTCCCTGCATGCAACCAATAACAAAAGTTTGATTCGAAGGATTCTTCTGACTGCAGCATCTTTTCGAGGCCCAGATGGTCACCACTATGATAATCAACGCTCCTACTATGGTGACTGTTATTAATACAGCTGAAAATGAAACATATATTTGATATAAGTTTTATGTTAAATTACATGACATTTTACATAAAAACCATTCTGATCTAAATGCTGGCGTTGATCAAATTATTCCTTTATGGATAGGTAATATTAAATTCAAATTAAGAACAATTTATGTTAATCTCGTCATATTTTATTTAATTAAGCAACATATTTTAGAGATAGTGAATAGTAGTAGTTCAGATATGGAAGCCTGTAGTACATTTTATAGTTTGGTCGTTCCAAATTACTCAAGTCTCATATGTCTCTATTTACCTTTCAGATTTTATGTCTCATATGTCTCTATGATCATATGTCTCTATTTACCTTTCAGATTGACTTGACAAGTTCGTCCCGCGTACCACTTGAAACATTCACATATCATCGCG